AAACATCATATATTCATAATCACCACTTAAAAACCTGCATCGTCAAAAGCCAACTCCTCAAACGATGTCAAGAACTATTAGAAATTTGCCAGAGAACCTTATTGTTAGCCTGCACCTGAGTAGTTCACAGAAGTTACTAGAATCTTGGATGAAGCATCAACGAACTTGCTTCACCCTTGCTCCACCTACTTCTCGATAACAATTCAAAGTTACAAACTTAATTTGGAGACTGATTTGACAAATTAGTTAAATATTCATTTTTGCTCACTTCTTCCTAATAAAAATCACTCCACAGATCCAAACAACTCACCTGCGCTAATCAGAACAGTAAATTAGAACAATAACCACGATAACAGATAATAAATAAGTAAAGAAATGAAGTTTTCAAGCGAAATACCTGATCACAGAGCCTGATACTAGCCATCCACGCACTCACTTGCTGCGCTTCGTCCATAAAATCTGCGATCCATATACGATCATGAAGTGAATGATTCCGATACAAATACAAGTCCATCCAGTGTTGCTCGGGTAACGACAACTGCCAGTAGATCTCATCTACACCTTTAGGCAACGGTATAGACGGCTAAAATTCCGCCATTATAATAGAAAAGGGCCAAACTTGATTATGTAAGTAAACCTTTCACTTAAAACTCGAAACAATAATGAACGAAAGAATTTTAGTTTTGGAAAATTCCAAGATCAGTTATGAAAATGAGAGGGCGAACGATGAAATCAGATGNTTATTCCAGAATTCCTGGTTTCATAAACATTATCCAACTTAAAATTCCACAATCAATGAATCAAACAAAAAATAAAACAACTTCAAATAATGTTCGAACCTTCTTGAAACCATATTCCACCCAAGTGACGTGATGATTTCTTTGTACGAGTTCTTCGGCCAAATGTCTCATCGTAAAACGATGTACTGGAAATATGGAACTTGGCATAATAAGCACTTCAGCTCCATTTGTGTACAACGCAACCGATAATATCAATATATACAAACCAATAATACTGCTATATCCCGTTGCCATCATCTGTAATTTTATAACATAAACAAACGCATTAAATGATGATTCAATTCAATTCAATTCATTCAACTCAAAATTTTAGTCGTTTAGACATACAACTCATCATGTATGCAATGCGCATTATTTATATTTACAATTAGTATTGAAACATTAAAATGACAACGACATCTGTATCATCCACAATACCATCAAAAAAGTCAAAGAGAAATAATGAGAGTGGAACGGAAACATTAAAAAAAAACTAGTTAATTGATCGAGTTTGCAGTACTATAATCGTTAGCACAATACTTGATTCGAAACAATACAAGTAATCATAACTTAAACATTTCAACCGCACACCTTTCTTATCATCAAACTTCGTTAATTACATAAAGTAATTTCCAAATTCCGAAAACTTGGAAATTTCAAACTTATTTCTCACAAATCAAACGAGAATCTTCAAAAAATCTCTGCAAGAGAACAATTTTCCGAAA